CCTGAACCCTCAACCCTGAACCTGCAGGGTTTGGACCGGGGGGTTGAAAGCCTAAGCTTCAAAATCCCGGGCATCCCAAACCGAAACCCTAAACCCACATAGCGGTTGAGGTTTAGGGTTAAGAGTTTAGGGTTTAGGGTTTCTTTTGTAAGGGCCCTTTTCCGTCTGCCCACTTCTGAGCCACAGAATCCTCATTCGAGGAGAGCTGGGTTTGTGCGACTGTGGCACACCCGGGTTTAGAATTGAAGGTTTGGGGTTTGGGGTTTATGGCCGCATAGGGGTCTGAATATTTCGAGGATGAGGCTCCTTTGATTCGACGGCCTGTCAAACATTGCCAGGGTTACTACATATAAGGGTACGATGGGGTTTAGGGTTTAGGCTGTCGGGTTTAGGGTTCTAGGGCGAAGGATGTGTTAGGTTTAAGTTGGTTACTAGATGGGTGCGATGAAGGTGCAAGGGTATAGGGGCCATGGTATATAAGTAGAACAGGGTGTCGGAGGCTAGGACGAATATAGGGGCCTTACTAAGTAGAATAGGGTCCGGGGGTATATAATAATACTGTAACTATAATAAGGAACCCCCAAGATAGTTTAGGTAATTCTTCGGGCCCTTATATTAGTAGGGTGCGAAGTATCTCGACCTCTATATTGGGGTGCTGGCCTGTGCTTCTCTAAGCACCTGCGACACCCTAAATCCTGAAACCTTAAACTCTGAACCCTAAAACCCTAAACCCCTGAACTCTAAACCCCAAGCCCTAAGCGACTAAACTCTGAACCCTAATATAAACCCCAAACCCCAAAGCTCTAAACCCTAAACCCCAAGCCCCTAAACTCTGAATCCTAAACCCCAAACCCTAAGCCCTAAAACCTTCAAACTCTGGCTAACTGGGAGCCTCAACTCGTTCCCTCTAATTCGGAAAGTTCTTGGGTTTAATATAGGTTTAGGGTTTAGGGTTTTGGGTTTAAGGTTTAGGGTTTAGGTTTGCCGTAATAATTAGACTAGGGTTTTGGGGGTTCCTTTAAAGGGTTCCTTTAAGGGTTCTATAAGGGCTACTATCAGGGTTTAGTGTTTAGGAGCCTTAATAATTTGAATAGAGTTTTGGGGCCCAATATACTATAACTATAGGAACGAACCCCGAAAATAGTGTTGGTAAGGCCCCTACATGAGGGTTTAGAGTTTAGTGGTTTACGGATTCAGGTTCAAGGGCTGAGGGGTTTAGGGGTTTAGGGACTGGGGTTGCGCCATCAGGGTTTCTTTATGGGTTTTGAGGGTTCTGTAAGTATACGGGTCTCGGGTGTTGTTAGTTGTGTATGGGTTTTTGGTTTATGTTTTTTTTGTGGCTTGTTGCTTAACTACCTTCTAGGGGGAGGTCTGTCTCCCCCCCTAGAATCCGAAGCACCGGGGGTTGTAGAAAGTCCTTTGGGCACCGAAAAGAGTCCGCCTTAACTACCATAAACTACTTTTTGTACAAACGTAGGTTTTGGTAGATTCAAGGCAACCTACACTTCAAGACTCGTCCGAATAAAGGGGCGGTAATGAATCGAGTTATATTGCTGAAGAAATGTGCAGCAAGGCTACAGTCTAGAGCTTTTTGAAACCTCACTCTAATTACCCTAAACCCGGAACCTTAAACCTTATTCTAGTTATTGGGACCCTTCTCCGCTCTTGCGGCCACCTCGTTCCGGTGTAGATCCATGGCAGCGATGGGTGGAAGGCGATGCTAAGCACACCTTTGGGTATAAGTGTAAGGGCTTTAGCGTTTAGGAACCCTAACCTCTACAAACCTAAAAACCTAAAACCCTACACCCTCAAAGCCTTCAAAACCTAAAAACCGAAAACCCTAAACCCTACACCCTAAAACCCTCAAAGACCCTCAAAAACCTAAACCCTCGAGTCTAGGGGTTTAGGGTTAGGGTTACAGAATCTCGAGGGTTTGAGATTTAGTGCTCTAGGGGTTTGGGCTTTAGGGGTTTTGGGTTTAGGGGCTTAAGTTTGTGTTCAGGAGCTATAGGGCTTATTTTAGTAGTTTGGGGTTTGGGGCTGAAGTTTGGGTTTTGGAGCTATAGGGCTTATTTTAGTAGTTTAGGGTTTGGGGCTGAACCCTAAACCCTAAACCCTAAACCGTTTAGGTTTAGGAGCTATAGGGCTGAGGGTTTGGCAGTTTAGGGGTAGGGAACCCAGGCAACTGAGACCACAAAGGCGGGCCCACTGAACCCATGGCTTTTTGTTTTGAAGGCTTTTGCTTTGTGTTTAGGGTTTAGGGTTTAGGGTTTAGGGTTTAGGGGTTAGGGTTTAGGGTTTAGGGTTTAGTTGTTATTTTGAAGGCTTTTTCTTTGTGTTTCATACGGATCTAGAAGGGAAGTTGTGTAGGTTTCAAAAAATGGGTCATTGTCACATAAGGGCCTGGATACGTAATTGGAAGAGTCTGCCTAGGGACGAGAAGGGGATACTGTTAGTAGCCGGCCTCTATGTCGGTCTATGCTCATCAGCCTAAATCGATCCCTGCCCGGTGTACTCACCCTGGTCATGACATAACCCTGAAACCTAAACCCTAGCCGGCATTCAGCAGCGCAAGCTGAATGTCAAACCCTGAACCCTGCAGGTTAGACCCAACCATGGCTTTCTAGGAATCTGTCGGGAACGGCAAAGGCAGAGGCCGAATGTCTGGAGCAGGGCTTGCCGCTTTGGCGCTACGCCGCTACACGCTTCTGGAGAGAACTCTAATACAATCTTCGTGGCAAGTTACTGCGCAAACCCAAGCCCGAATGAGGCCATAAACCCTTACAGGAACCCGCCTAAGTCTTAACCCCAAGCCCCAAAGGAAACCCTACACGCCGAAACCCTGAACCCTAAACCTCAACGGAATCCTTGCAGAAGCCCTAAAACTAAAAGGAGCCGGCAAAGTTAACCCTCAAAACCAGACTCTAAACCGTAAGCCCCAACCCAAAGGGAAACCCTACACCTCATGGCTAAGTCGCTTGAGATGTGCGTCGCCGTGTACTGCGGCTGCAGAGATGGCGGCCTAGACACCAGCCGGATGCATGAGCAATACTCTAAACCCTAAAGGGAATCCCAGAAAGTTGGAACATGGGTTTAGGAGGATTAGTGCTAGGATCCCTTATACTTTACCTTTAGGGCATGAGGATAATCATGTTCCAACTTTTTGGCTTCTACTTTAAACGCTTTAGAGTGGCTTGTGCACGATTCGAGTTTTGGGGGGTTTAGACCCCTGGACCCTAAACCTTTCGAGTTTAGGTGTTATCCTTCTTTTTAGGGCTTGTTGCCGGTATAAGGGCTTTACAAGGGTCGCCAAAGAGATTTTACAAGGGCTTCATATGGATTTATAGGGTGTTCAAAGTATTTGGGTGCTTTTTATAGGACTTAGAGAACTGGTTCGCAGTCTGTTCGAGTGTCGAACATGTGTGTGTGTATATATATGCTCGCCCCCCCCCC